AAAAAAATTATAAATTCAAAGACTTAATAAATCATTAAATTTTAATAAATATTGAATTACAAATTTTGAAAGCCATTAAAAAATTCACTCATCCATTGATTTTATTATTATTATAAATGTTTCAGAATGTATATAAAACTACCGTTTAAAATCTACTTATAATTTCCTTATTATTATATGACAATCTATACGGTATACAAATAAGCAAAACATTTTTATTATTATATTATTATATATGACAATCTATAAACTATATTGTATACAATTAAGCATAACGTATGGGATGTTGAAATGCGACAAAATCATATATGGGACGTGGAAATCCGATTCACAGTCTATCATATCAATTTTCGATAAAAAGAAAAATTGGATTTTGATATTCGAAGAATAATAAAAAAGATTTTGATATCTAATCGGATTTTGATATTTTTATTATTGGATTTTAATATCCGACTAGGAATGAGAGTTTTATAACAAATTTATACATTTATTTAACGCGAGAAGCTTAAAAAAAAATCTTTTTTCCAGCTCTAATGCAATCACCACCACAACAATACCTCCATCATACCTCCATCACATGCCTTAGAATACTTTTTAACGAACAATCTCTCTCAAATATTTTTGAAAGACCACAGTAAATGAAATCAATGAAGAAGATAATGAAAAGATAAAAGGAGGTGCAAGGATGAGAGAAGTATATAAACTTTCACGCTCATTCAATGCTCCACTCAATTCGTCAATCACTTAATTCGATAAAAAAAAATATTTAATTCTGACCAATCTCATTAATTACAAGGACATTTGTGAAAACTAGAGGTGCAGATGAACCCCTTGGAGGTACAGGTGAAACACGCTATATTTCGTACTTCAATTTGGGTCAAAATGACAAGGCCCAAACCCAACTTGGATGTATTTGTTTGATGAAGAAATTGAGGTTTCATCTTTCTACACCCCACATTTTTCTTGATCACCTCCAACAAACTCGGAATTAAACTTTTTAGAATATAAATTTTAATTTCTGAAAAAAAAAATATACTCCAAATTTGATTTTTCAGAATACATTCCGAAATCAAATGACACAAATACAATAATTTGATTGTCCAATTTTTTTAAAAGGGCTATAAAACTCAGGACTTTTTGTTTGGAAAATATCACATATGCTTTAACTTTTTTCTCACTTACATAAGCTAACAAAAAATGGAAAACAGGAAGAATAAAAAAAAATATGAACAATTAAACATAGGATAACTTCCCACAAGAGAGAAAAAAAAATGAATAAATTCTATATTGCTTCAAACTATAGAAATCATTATTTTATGTCTTTCTTCTCCTTCGACTTGGACTAAACTATAGAAATTAGTGAATTGAGGTGGTTCGGGCTCGAAAATTGAAACGCCAGAGCAAGATTTTGGAGCAGTCTTGTGGTGGAATTCCCTTTAACTTAGCTTCATCTTCTAGAACTACTTGCTTCACGAACTTGATCGAATTCTACAGAAAAAGTCAGAATAATAATAAGGACAAAAATAAAAAGCAATAAGAAAACTCTTGGTAGAGATTATTTGTAGGTGATAATGATGCATAATCTTGTACTTCGTTTTCTAATTGAAGATAACTTTGAAACTTGAAGTGGAATCTATCTTGGAGTATAAGGAAGCATCATGATCTTGTGCCAGAGTAGAAAACACTACATACATAGTATTCTGATTAGTTCAACTAATCAATCATGGTGTCATTATATTACCTAATATCTTACTCTTTTTTTTTCCAAGGTTTTTTCTTTGAGTAGTTGGAGGTTGGTCAAACGTTAAATTAACATAAACAAAGTTTGTGTATCAAGTCACCAAATCTAATTTCATGTAGACAAACATTAGGGTAAGGATGCTACTAAGAGCTTGCTTTTCATGGGTGAAAATAATTTAACACATTATTAGTATACCAAATCAATATTTTTATGTTATACATATCTTGATTAAATGTTAAGTGCTTTTTGTTTAACAAAATTTTCAATTTTGGATAGAAATAGATGAACCAATATTTTTTAAACAGTATTGGGCACTAGTGATGATAACCTATAAATTAGAATGTTTACCTGAGAAGTGTCTTGAACAGAGGAAGTGCGACCCCATCGCTCAGGGTCCCAAAGGATGGAACTGTTAAATGCAAAACTTGAAATATGAATTGGGGGAGTGATTGTGTCAGTTTCATTGTTCATATTCCTCAGATGCCAACCAATAACTTGTGATGAATCGCAAACTGGTCCTTCGATTTTCACTTTCTTCCTATGTGCAGCTAATAATGCAGTTGGCCATGTTCCAAACAACCTAAGTACCCAAATGAATGCTTGTCAGAAAAACCACCATGGAGGACTGACATATAATGCATGCATGCATGCATGATTGTTAGATTGTTGCTATTACAACATTGTCTGTGTAAAAATTAAAACAACCACCCACCAGAATAGGCACTAGACAACACTAGCACATTTCCTAAAAATTGGTTCAGATATAGAATGTAAGTTATAGTTTACTAAACTTGGTATAGCAAACAAAAGGGAAGAAATTAATCATACTCAATATCTCTAAGCTGATGGAAGAATTGGAGATCATAGACATTGGAAAGGCCAGCAAAGTGCACAATGCCGTTGAGTCTGTGGTGCTCAATGTGCCTGAGTGCAAGATTTCTCTGGTGATTCAGTTCAGCTTCTAATTCAGTGAAGTTTTCCTTGAAAACCACATGCCTATACATGATGCCAGTTTTTCTCAGTATCTCAGGAAGCTCTGTGGAATTTGTTTTTGCTTCCACAACAATCCACAGCAATGGTTGAGGAACAAGCTTTATGGTATTTGCCAACCTTCTCAAAAACACTGCTTGGTGGGGTAGTTTTGTGCTTGTTGGAGTCACAATGATGATGAGTCTTCTGGGCTTCAGCTTTGGAAGTGTTTTTTTCTTTTCAGTTTCAGGGATTGCAGGCTTCATGGACATGGTGATTGGAGGTGGAGCTATCAAACTTTCATTGACACTTATTGTGTGGAGTAACATTTCACTAGGTTGTGGAGCAAACTGTGTCCTATTTGAAACAGCAACTTTGGTGGAAAAGAGATAAGATTTACCTGTTGGAGCTAAACCAGTGAAAAAGCCCATCACAAAACACAGGGAAAAATGGAGCATGGCCTTCTTCCATAGAAGAACCTTCTTCTTTGATCTTTCTAGCGAACCCATCTTGATTAAACCCTCTGTAATTGACCACCCGAAGCAGAATCTTCAGGATGGAATTGAATTACCAGATGGGGGGGCACAGAATGAAGAGAAGGGTAGTGGAATTAATGTAATATAAAGTTGGGAGCTTTAAGGGTAGCACATTTTTGTTAAGCAAAATGTTGAAACTATTGAGCTTATTATGATTGGTACTGCCAAACTGAATGGTTAGGTTTTTGGTTTGGAGGCATTTGATAGGAGGGTGGCTTAACTTGGTTGTCCCTTGAAGTAAAAGTAATATAATAAAAATAAGCATAAAAAGAGATAGTGTGAGACCAAGGGTTGTTATCTACACCAAATAGCAGTTGGGATGGCATCCATCCATCCATAAAGAATGTGTTGTACCATGCCAATTAACTAATATTAGTAATCATCATGCACACATTGTGTTAGGGCTTTTTATTTTTCATTTGAGGTTGACTAGTCCTAACAAAGAATCTTAAGAAAAGAAAAATTAATTTAACTATGATTTTGGACAAGTATTGTGTATTATAAAAATATTTTTTACTGGCATGATGAATGTAGTGGCAGTTATTTGTAGAATTATTGTAATGGGGTGGGTGAGAATTCCGAAGTGAGTAACCTTTGTGGGTGTGGATCTCTAAAACTAGTCCACAGAATCAGACTTTGGGAAGTGGTGCGTGTGTTAGATCATCTTTCACTTAAGCACATTACAGACATGCATTTTTGACTTAAGAGAAAGAAATATGCATTTGCACTGGACACAATTTCTTTGATATTTTATATTGGTTTAAATGTAATTGACTATTAGTATGAATATTGAATTGCTAGTTTTAAGATTTTTGGTTCTGTTTGGAATGGTTATAATTTCTCTGTTTTTGATATCTAAATTTAAATTTGAAAATAAAATTGGTTTTTGAATGAAATAGTTCTTAAATTTTTATCACTATTTTAATCTTTATTTTTAAAACATACTTCCTAGTTACTATTATATTGGAAATTCAATAAAACCCTTTTTATCTCTTCAAGTTATAAAGCTAATAAAAGGTTTGTAGTCTACTGTTCAATCATATTAATACTTGTTAGAAGAAATAATATATTTGAGAATCTATTTGCTTTATTTTGAAGTGTAGCTTTAACTTGTTTTGTACCTAAAATATCTTTCCATAGTGCGTATGAGACTACTCTTAGAAAATAATATATCTTCTTTTATATATATAAAAGTCTAAAATAATATTAATTGTAGTCCTTAATTTCAAAACAAATATGAAAACGGAAGATATAAAATCGTGATTAAGGTTAGATCCTGTGACACGCGAAAGGAACAAAAGTATTGTGTATTTGTACTTTCCATGTTTTAACATTTGAGTGCAGTTTACGGAGCTGATATCACTCTTTTTTTTTAACAGAGTTGAGAGAGCCGTGGGTTAAGTGGGGACGTTTCTCTAGGAAGTTAGAAACTATTTGATCCTGAAATAAAATTATGCAGGCCTCCTATGTAACAAAAAAATGTACAACGAATTAACTCATACTATAAAATGGGTGTATATTACAAAACTACCTGGTGTTTGGACAATCAAATTAGACAAAATGTAATGACAGTGCCAGTACACAGAGACTAGAGAAAGTTAAACCATACCAAATTAACGGATTTGGGCAAAATAACGAAAAACAGAAAACAAAAATATATAATAGTAATTCTTAAAACACTTGATAATAAAAATAATATAATTCACATCACCCCCACAATAAAATAACGTTTAATGAAAATAATTCTTAAAGTTAAAAAATAATACTATCGTTTCTTGTACGGGCAAAAAGTTCCAAGTTTACAGCATGAAGAGGCACGAAAATTCCCAAAGCATATACAGTTCAGATGGCTATTACAATGAGATCTGAGGGCATTACGATACTGTAAACAAACGATTTTAGGCAACACTGTCAGCTTCTGTACTGAATTAACCTGAAACGTCACTCTATAAATCACATTCCAAACCCTTCCCTTTACATGGTGTTAAACTTTTGGGGATGGGTAACGAAGAAATCTTAACACCAAGCTGCCTGGCCTGTTAAGACATAAATACTACCGGAAATTTCTGGGTTAAACTGGTGTTCTCATTCTATGTTGTTACAGGTCTGGTTTTGTTGAGATTGAATCTCTTTTGGGACGGTGCTTCTTCCACTTCTTTTTTTGCAACTCCATGAGCCAGGGCGGAACTTCACAGCCCGATGCTGCCATTAGATTAGCAACATTCCGCAGCAATGGAATGTCTTCCTCTGTGTAAAAAGTAATCGCTTCTCCACTCCTCCCCGCTCTGCCAGAACGACCTAATGAACGAATATTTTAGCAAATAATAAAAATTCGTGGATATAGGAACTATAATCCCTATAAATATCTTTTCTCAAATCATAAACAACTTTAGTATAACTGCACATACCAATTCTGTGGACGTATGCGGAGGCAGAATCAGGGAAATCATAATTGATCACACAGTTCACTCCTTTGAAATCCATGCCCCGGGCAACCACATCAGTAGCAATCAAAACCCATGTTTTTCCAGCTCTGAAGTTGTCGACAGCATTTCCTCGCTACATAGAAATGTATGAGATCAGAATTCATAAATCACAAAAAACTGCTAAATGAAAAGGTATGCTTCAGAATTGGAGTACATATGTTGACGATAAAAAAAAATATTAACAAATAAGGAACATTATACTTGACATCTTCATTCAAATATTAAAAACCAGACCTTGGTCACAAACTTATCAGTTTTCTTTTCATTTTGATGTTTTTTGGAGAGAGGAGGGGGAATGCTGCAGATTCTCTATGTATTTTCAAATAAACATCTTATGTTGTTAGAACTACCTCTTGTTCAGACAAATCAGAATGAATGACATCAACTCTAATGTTGTCAAATGCAAGTTCACCGTACAACTCCTTGGCTCGTTCCTTGCTTTGGAGAAAGACCAATACTGGAGGATTTAGACTCTACAAGACGTTGCAGAATATAATGTCAGAAGACAAGCAACTAAAAAATACCAATATAGCTGATAGGAGGGACTACAATATTATATGCATTTTGCAAGTTCCAAAAAGCGAAGGTAAGTGATATGTAATTAAACATTCCAAGTCTATATTATGCTCATGACACATTATCTAATACCAAACCCAGAATAAACAAAAAGCTTAATTGTATGCATGTAGCACATTCCGTAAAACAAATGAGACTACAAAAAAGAATAATAATAGAAAAATATATATTAATAGTAAATTGTAGGGACTTTCTTTTTAAACATACCAAAACCAACTGGCGTTTAATTGGGAGACACACAACCCCTCGACGCATATGAAAGTTGGACTGACTAGAATTATTATCCAAAGAATTAGTTTAGCCATTTACCTCTGCAAAACTTTGACGAATTGCAAGAAGTTTTCCTTCTTCACTTCCAGTAAAAATCAATTTTTGCTTTATTGTTTCAGAAGCCATATTCCTGATTCAAATAAAAACTAGACATTATCTACAAAATAATGTAAACGAAAACTGCATTAAGGATATGCTCAGGAGCATCATGTTTACAAATATTTTGCATTGAACTTACTTCCTGCCAACAATTACACGAACAGCATCGTGCATAAGTTCTCGAGCTCGATCTTCAACAAAATCAGGTAAAGTAGCACTGAAAAGTGAGCGAATGATTGAGGGGTTGGAGCATGCCTTGAGAACAGAATCAATCTGCTTGAATAATTCGGGCTCAAAAAGCTTATCCGATTCATCCAGGACAAGGTACTCCACTCTGAAGCACCCAAAGTAGTTGGAAGAAATGAAAAAATCAATACAAGGGGCTATTTAATAAATCACATCAGATATCCTACTAACTTTGTAGACACAATCGCAAGATGCATCTAAAAGAATCTGGTAAAATTTTATAATGCTAAGCATTATAATCTATATAGTGGAGCTACACCTGTAGCACTCGGACCATGCCGGTTTAGTAAAAGCACAATGAAAAAGAATGAATAGCAATAGGAAAACTGACCCCAAGGCTATCATGGGTGCAATTGATTAATAATTAATTAACCATAGCTCAATCAATTATTATAATAGAAAAACTGCAATATAATATGAGAGTAAGAGAGCAACAATAAACCAACTATTATAAGCATTCAAGATAAATATTTGTCGATAAAAAACACTTATACTGCAAGGATTTGAAGTTTAAATCAACAAAACAAATCGATCATCATACCTGCTGAGATCAATCTTCTTCTTCTTGATAGCCAATCGTAATCGGAGTGGTGTGGATATTAGTATATCACATGGAAACTTTGAAAAATCAGCATTTCTTAAGAGACTTTTAGTCATTAACTTAATACCAAACTTTTTTCTTTTAGCAAGCTTTTTGCACTCTCGAAATATTTGAGCAGATAATTCACGGGTATGACAAAGGATAACAGCTCGAATGCCACCCTTTTCTGGGTCCTGTAAAACATAAAATACATATATTATATGAATCGAGTACACAGGACATCGGGATAAGCAAACCGGGTTGGAGAAAATAAGCAAAATACCTTAAGCTTTATAAGCATTGGACATACAAATGCAAGGGTTTTCCCAGAACCAGTTGGTGCACAAGCAAAGCACTCTCGACCCTATAGAAGAAATAGGGCAGTTTAAAACAATATTCAGTTAATACCTATATCAAGGAAAATAGAAATTACTTATGAATCATGATCGAACTTCAGTAACAGTTTTCTGAAGATAGAAAACCAAATGAAAAATACTTATACTACAAGTAACTTCACATAATTCGTACATCTAAAAGTACTGGAATAGTCTGCCTTTGAATAGGCGTTGGTTCTCTGAATCCAAGCTCCTTCAGGTTGCGCAACAAATACGATGGACACTTATATCTACAAACAATTCATTAATATTGTGAATCGCCCCTTTCTAGCAAACCAAATACCAGAATGAGAAGCAAAAGGAATGCAGGATATTGCTCAGATATGGACAAAATAATATTAGATACCTTGATTTCAATTCGTCAAAGCTTTGAAGAGGAGACGGTACATTATAACCAGAGACATGAATGTTGTGCTGCTTTCTGAATATCGCGTCCCGCTGAAAACATGTTCAATATATGAAACCATTGCACAAACTTACTAACATTTGTAATTACGCAAATTGCACAAAACAGAAAAGGAACCTCGAGTTGTCGATTTTGTTCCTTCTTATTCTTCCTTTTACTAAACTCAATAGACTCCTGATCAGCTTGAACTTCACCACTGGACTGCGCCACAGATGCGGAATTTCTAAACACATTGAATCCTTCAACATTTTCTTTTATGGGTTTACGAAAACGAAGCAACAGTGAGATACGAAACTTTGAGTACAAGAGACGGAATAGTGTAAACAAAGCAAGATGATGTGAATACCAGAAGAGTTTCCCTTGCGCTTCCTCTTCTTCGTGGACGCTGTTTTTTCTTCTACTGCTTCCCTCGTTTTCGCCCTTCCGTCATCGGCAACGCTCCAAATCTTCGCCGAATCAGTATCGTTATCTTTTTTCTTTTCATAATCAACGAAAAATAACAGTTATTAATTGTCTGCGGTGTAAAAGTCAATAAGCGTATGTGATGAAGAAAGAGAGAGAGAGAGAGATACCTGGAATCTGGCGATATCGGCGCCGAACTTCTTTCTGTTGAAACGAATGCCAGAAAACAAAAACGAAGAGTCGTTGGCCATTGGAGATGGAACAAACAAATGATTTAGGGGTTTCTGTAATCAAACACGACCTTGCAGTTCCTTCTTCAACCTCACTGCGGCCTGTATTTTTTTAAAGTAGTTATATTATAAGAATAAAATAATTATAAAGGATTGAATTTTTGTATTTTTTTAAGAATAAAAAATAAAAAGACAATATCAAATGAATATAAAATATTTGTGTGTCAAAATATCAATTATATTTTACTATTTGTTGTTAACGAAAAGAAATAAAAAGAATTTAATCAGTCTTAAAACAATAAAGCCACCACAACAGTCCTTCTCCACTATGCATTTGTTCCTAATACAATGATACAAAATCGAATTACATTAGTGTTTTAAGACTATGCTATAGATGTAAATGTAATGTAAATAATTCAAAGCCTCTTATTTTTTACAGGAGATGTCTGAGAAGGAAAAGTGAGATGAGTTTAAAATTAAGTAACACTGCTCATTTTCTTTAAATTGAACCAAACTGCAACATTATTTCACTTCCCGTCTCCCATGCATGACCACCCTCATCACTGGTTGCCCTTATTGTGTTCCAAAGTTCCAACCTTTTTAACACCAGACAAAAACCTTGCATTTGTTAATGTTGTCAGTAAAGCCATAACCAAATACCCTTCTCTCACGGCAGCACTTTTTTCAGCCATTTCTTCATGTAATAACATTTGACAGCAAGGTGCTATATATGATACTTACTAATCCTCATTGAATATCTAGAAAACGAGAATTTTGGGAAATTTTCTGTATATTGGAAAATTAAGTAAGTGAATTTTAGGTATAGAGTTTGGGTTTACAATTGATATTTATTGTACAGAGATCAATAACCTAAAGTCTAATCTGTCAGTATAAACAATCATAAACACAGTTACAAAGAAGACAAAGCACTTCTCCATAAGATATGTCTACAAACTTTAAATTTGCACAAATGTATATACAAAATTAGAAAGTGGAAACTAAAATTTCAGAGGAAAAATAATATAGAGTGACAGTTCAATGCACAAGCAAAAATGATATAGTAAAGGACGAACCTGTTGCAATAATGAAGAACACGTAGGTGAATCGCGAACCAATTCTTTAGTTGTTAATGCACTCGAGAAGATGATGGAGGAGGAGCCTTGTGGAAGGGACAGAACAAACTTGATTGAGTTGTGGAATCCTCGAATGGGCTTTAGGGGCAGGAGCTTCAGAAAAAAAACCCCTAAATGCGCAATAATAGGAGATTTAGTTTTAAATGGGCTACGACCAGTTAAATGACTTGTCTAACTGCAATATTGAAGGTTGAAATTGGGCTTCTTCGCCGCAAAGGGATTCTTCGCCCAACAAGCTTCGCAGTGCAGTGACGGGGAAGAAGTTCCAACCGTTGCCGATGGCAATAACAGTTCCCACCGGCAACTCGTGATTCCGGAGGCACAAAACGGGCTATTGGGCTTTACTGGTAGACGAGATGGGCCTGAAAAAGGCGTATGGGCCCAGGGGGTAAAATACGAACGGTGCAGTGCAACGGCAGAAGCAAATGGCTCTTTTTGGGTTTCAAGAAGAGGAGAAAAAAACCTTGATCTCAAATACAAGGAAGAATATTGCATTATTTTAAAAAGTTAGATAGTTTTATAATTTCTAGAAAATTAAATTTTATTGAATTTAAGTTATCTTATTTTTAAATTGCTTAATTTTAAATTTTGCTTGGATAAAATATTTTAAATTTCTATAAAATTTAAACATTTTAAAATAAAATATTTTAAAGATTGTTAAATATAAAATTACTATTTTAAAGCTGGATATATCAACCGAGAATAATCACTAAAAATTCGTTCATAAAAATATAATTTACATAAAGAACCGGGTAGAGAAAATTCTAACCTATATCAATTAAAACTAATTTTAAATTTCATGAATAAATAAATAATGTCATGCCAATTAAAATCAAAATTCATTACAAAAACATTCTTACGTGTGCTAAAAAATACCACATTACATATTTGGATATAACCGAGGAACTCCTTTGACAGGTTAAAGTTCCAAACGAGAGCTATCATGGAGTATCGGCATAAGAAACTCTGTCAGTTGAAGATATAACAGCAGGAAAACCAGATTGCGAAATTGGAATCTGAACTATACCTAGCTCGTTCTAAACTCCAAGAGAAGGAAGCTGAACTGCAGGCACTAAAAAACTGTGTCACTCTCCTCAACCACCAATATTCATCTTTTTAATATAGACAAGTTGCAATGCAACTCATGAAGTGCTGTACACTGTAGTATGGACATGTGAATATAGTAATTGGTTTTTAGGATTTTATACTTCAATGCCTACGTTACAGGATTAGACTGCTCTCTGATTTGGTGTTTCTCTGGGGCCATGATGCCATTGTTTTTTTATTCATCACAAGCTATCTTCACAAGTCTCACAAAAGGAACTGAAATTGCCGAAACTGAAATATTTTTTACTTTCCTTGTTGTCTTGTTGGGAGAAATAACACTGAAATCACCTAATTGCTTTGACATTTTGCACGGTTGTCTGAACTTTCACAGGGATAGGATTGTAAAGAAACGTTACCAGTGGATTCTTGAACATAGCGTTGGTTCACTCGCTATGTTGTGAAACAGTACGGAAATGGCGTGAGACCATGGTATTGGGTCCTGCATCAGGGGTTTGCGTTTTTCTATTGTATAGAATAATAATAATAATAATAATAATTCGTTGTTGCGCATAATCCATCACTGCTGTTTTCTCTTTTTTTCTCGAGCACTTTTCATTACTCCTTTTGTCCCTAACCAGTAATAATATTTTTGATAAAAAATTGCTAAACATTTGATTTTTCATGTTCTGATGGTTGTATTTTAATTTGAAAAAGCAATGCCAGAATTGAAGCAGGACTAAAATATGGAATATCTATTTTTAATTGGAAAATGATAGAGCAAATATTAGAACAGGAATTGACAAGGAAAACCACAGCAAACTGGTTCCACTGTGTTGGAAATGGCGTCTGAGAAGGCATTGGCATCTCCACTTGTTAATTCTAACTTCTGGTAGTGCTATTTTCCGAGACCACACAACACGCGCTATCATTATTTTCTTTCCTCTTACATAGTACAATACTCCAACCAAGAGCAGACAAAGTAATTTCCGAGAAATAACAGTGTTGTTAGAAATTTTTAAACTTTAAGAAGGATTGCCGAACAAGTTACTTAAAAAATAAAACAATATATATAGATTAAAAAAATAAGAATTATGGCCCGTTTTTAATTCCTATTAAATAATAATTTTTATTTTTGTTTCTCTGAAATATTTTACGGAAACTAAAGATAAAAATAATATAAAAAACTTCCAAGATACCAATATAACAAGGTGTCTATTTTATTAGAACCACGATTATATTTAAATTTATTATAAATATAAATAAAACATGTTTTTAAATACCATATCTAAAAGCATATTTTTTCTAAGTACAAGAAAACATAATTAAATAATAATAAATTTATAATTCTGAATTTCATTATCAGTGCAAGAAGTGCGAAGTTTTCCGTGGGTCAATGCTCAATAACGCGTCTCCAAAAATTAAATAAATAAATATAAAGAAATCTAATCATAAATACGTATTGATTGACTGTGTGGACTAGATTGTGTAGCCCTGTTCCTCTTGTTTTTCACTCTCTTTTCTCTAATTTTCTTGTTTTTTCCTGGATCCGGAGTGTTCCAGGTATCGTCTATCTTCCGCTAGAAGATAACCTACCATCAATCTACATCCTTAATTTTAATTCAATGTCAATAGTTCATTGTTTTTATTTAAAATGTATTTATTCTGCATTTATTTAAAGCCATATAAAATATTTATTTACTGAACAAATAAATAAATTGAAAATTCAGTTGAAATAAAATTATCTCCTCGCTCATATCTTTTCGGTAGTCAGGGATTCTCGTCTCGTCCCCACATTTTTTCTACACTCTCTGATGCTTGCTTGATAATTCAGCTATTGCTTAATTCTTGTATTTCTTTTCAATCTAAATGGTTTTCCATTAATTATTCATAATTATGAATTAGAGTATAATTAGAAAGAACGTGAATTTGAATTCAGCGGTTAGCTTAAGACTGTTAGTGAGGACTAAGATTTGGAGGTTTGTTTCTAAAACATAATAAAAAAGAATGAGAATACGATAGTTGTATGAGAAGGTGGAAATAATAATAATAAAAAAAAAAAAAAGATCTTGACAGTAAAGGGGATTCATCCATCCGTGCGAAGATGCAATAAAAATAAAAAAGTCCATAGCAAAAAAACAAAAATGGGAAAAGCATTTTGCAGAAAGCAAGCTCCCTCAGACATACCCCATCTCGATTGCGTTTTACAACACACCAAACCAAACCTCTCTCACACAACACACACTTTCGGGGAAGAGTGGAACAAAAACCTTCCCTCAAGCACTGGACATGAAGCTATCGGGCAAACCCGTTTCGAGTCCGGGTCGGACAGACAAATTCCCTCCACCACTCATGAGGTTCCTCAGGAGCAATGCAGGGAGCAAAAGCAGACGGTCCAGGTCAAGCCCAATGTTCCTGCGCAAGAAAACCACCACCAACATCCAAACACAAACCACCCAGGAACCTTCTTCCCCCAAGGTCACCTGCATGGGGCAAGTCCGAGTTAAACGCTCTTCCAACACCAAACGCGACGTCCCTCCCACGCGCTGCCGCTGTCGCTGGGTTCCAAAGTCCAACCCCTGCCGCTACCGGCCCTTCTGCCTCACCTGGCCCTTCTTCCGTCGAAAGTCCAAGCAACACTCCCGGCCCAACCACCACCAAGAATCGGAATCAGCCTCCGAAGAAAGAACCAATGCGGATAAAAATATCGTTTCTTTTGCTTCCAACCCTAGCACGCCCCCGAAAAACGCTTTGTTGTTGACCCGTTGTAGATCCGCCCCGTACAGATCCTCGTCGCTGGCTTGTAGGTTTTGGAGTTCCCCCGTTAAGGACCAAGAAACGGACTTTCCGGACACGGAACCTGCCTCCGAGGAACCCCAAACGGACACCAAACTTGGGTTTCTCGGAACGAAAATTGCCTCACTCACCCAAGAAGAAAAGGTTGAGGAATTATCATCTGACCAAAAAGGAGTTGAACTGGTGTCTGCAATCGAATCACGCCCTAGTGTACTCACTAGGTGCAAATCGGAACCGGCGAGAACCGGACATAGAATTGACCCTCTGGTAAATAATCTGTGGAAAAAAAGGTTGGAAATTGATTAATCCGTATTCTTATTTTTATTCAATATAGTTTTTTTTTTCTTTTTTTTTTTGTATATAATTGAATGTTTTGACACCTGGAGTAATAGGCGTAACTGGGTGGGGCTTTTTGTCATATGAGCCTGGTAAATAGAAAGAAGGAAGAGGAGAAGAAGAAGAAGAAGGTAGAAGTGGGTTGGAGTACTTGTTTTTCGGTTCTCGGTAGTTAATGCCTTTCTTGTCATTACATTGCAGACATACACAGCACAAGCCTGAATTTCTCTTTTTCTCTGCCGACCATGTTAAGAACCTGAACTCACTGCAATTTGCTTTCACGTGCTGCTTTTTGTTTGTTTCAGTTATCGAATTTGACAGTGTTAAAAAGAGCTAGCTAGGGTTTAACTTTAATTTCCTGTTTCTAATGTTTTTGTTTATGAATTAGTTTATGTAATGATAAAACATTAATCAAAGAGAGAAACTAAATGCGGTGACAGTGCAGTACTGTTTCCGACATTGTTAAATTAAACTATTTAAGTAGCCTTGGATGCTCTGACCAACTTTCCCACTGGGTGGAAATGGCAAAGTGGAAAGTTAATTTTGATTGGAAGTATCTATGATGTGAACGCCCAACCACATCTTGTTTCTATTTATTAGTATTTTTCTTAATCACTACAGAGATGAGAACTAAATTTCCTCAACCAAATGTAAAATTTGCCATTGATGCAATGTTTTCTCCAATTCTCCCTCGATAGTTTTAAATTATTAACTTGGCCATTTCATATGATTAAAAGAACATTTTTATATGACTATGTGTGATAATAAATTGTTAATGCGTTTTTATAATTTAGTAAAAATAGTAGTTTCTTGATTTATATTTACTTATAAATTCGCTCAGTTGTAACTTGTAACTGCTTTATTAAAACCTGTGGTTCAGAATTAGTTTAATTGAATTTAAATTTTACTCTTATCTCACTAAAATATCATTTTTATATTAATTTTAGAATTTTTAATAAGTTGAAATAAATGTATAAGATGATAGATAAAATCATAATCTCGGTATTCATGAAAATAACAAAATTTAATTAAAAAATAAATTATTAAGTACTAAATAATAACTTTTTAACAAATTTTTAATTAAAAACTTAAATTAAATTTATTACATATTTAAAGGTTAAATTTTTAAATAATAATAAAATAAAACTCCTAAAACTCTGGCACCAATAATTGTGTTGCTTTGTTTGTATTTAAATTTTGAAACAAATATCAATTTTGTTTTTGTTATTTTTTTTTAAATGTAAGTACATCACTGTCTCTGTTATTTAGTACTGTTTTCAATAATATTTTATCATTTAAACATTTATCTTGTGATATTTTTTTTTTTTAAATTCTCTGATATCAAATATTTTCAGTAGTTTTAATTTTGATACAGTCATCCTATGCTTAAGTGACCTTTATCATTCCAAAATTGCTAAAAAGTACAGGCAGAGATGGGTATAGATAAAATGCCACGTAATACTTTCACATTTTTAAAATACATTGACCCCGATATTTTATCAAACTTTTCTCCATAACCTATTTGTATTTTAATCCCTTTAATGACATAAACATTAAATTGACATTTTTATATATTATGCTAACTGCATGATAGTTTTAAGAATACGATATATCGTTGTTTAGATTGAAAGTGTTATCTCAAATAATAAAATAAAATTAAATAAAAGATACAGCTATTTTTTAGGTCTTTCATACTTTCTTTTTTTATATTTGTCAATAATTTAGGATTAAAATTTTAAATTTATTTAATTATGTCTTTGTTTTAAACGATAACTTTATTTTGATATTTGTATTTCTTTTAAAATTTTGATACTATTATGTTTCTATATTTAAAAAATGTATGAACGAAGTACTTTTTATCCAATAATTGTTTTTTAAGAGATTAGTATGATTTATCGTTTGTCATGTTAATAAACAATTAATTTCGTTAGATAAAGAATATTGTACTTTAGGATAAAAAATATAGTTAAACTTTTTAAGTTAAATTCAATCAGTAATTATATGTTTAAAGATAATAGAATAAATTAAGCTTAGAACGAAGAAATAATTATATAAAGATTTTTGTGAAAAAGTGAATAAAAACAATTTAAAGTACAGGAAATATTAACTGTCAAAAATAAAATTATTTAGGGAAGTATAGTAATGATTGATCTATAAAATTCAGGGACTTAAAATTTTGAGTGTTTATAAGATTTAATAACTTTTATTAGAGGGTAATAATTTTATATTTAAAAATAAAAGACTAACTATTATTATTTTTTGATAATTTTTAGTAATAATTTGTTAAGTTAGCCTCCCATTAAAGATAAAAAAGACTGTGAAAGAAGATTATATTTCAGAACTTTTTGTTATTTTTATAGAGTGTAATGTTCCAAAATCAAATTTAGTAAGATAATATCTTTAGGTAAATTATCTCATTTATTCGATGATTTTATTTTACTTGTGTATTGAACAGTTAAGAGGTGTAGAAGAAGAATATTTCTAATATATTATTTTCTCAAATCTTAAAATTAGCTTCTAGTAAAATTTAAAAGAATATAAAGGAATATTATCTTTAGAACTTTCTATCATCTTATAAATAATGTCAATATTTTGATCTTTAATTCAATAAGTATAATATTATTATAATCGATCATCACATCTACTTGATGACTTTATCACAATTTTATTTGTATTTTGAATAATTAAAGAGGAAAAATGTATTGAATTTATCTTGGTGAGAATTTCAAGATGATAATCTTTATGTTTCAAATTTTTTTCTTTCTTTCAATTCCTAAAAACAAAGAAAAAGAATATCTTAATCTAACCCTTTATAGAAAATGGTCTATTAAAACACTTTTTCAACAATTAATAATAAAAAAAACAATTTTCGACATGGATACAATGGTCTCACATGAACAAACTAGTACTTATGTGAAGACTAAATTCACTTCTGCTTGTAATTTGTTGATATACACACATGTGGTCTCAAAACCTTATAAAATTAAAGAATTTTCATTCTATATTTAATATCATCTGATTGTTAATAAAAAGTAGTAATATACTTTTGGCAATAATAAATTTTAAACTTTATTATCAAACAATAGTAGCATTATCCTACATAAATAACTAATTCAAGTTTTTATAAGTAATGAAAAATTTTCTTCATAATAGAAAGATATATATTATCAAAGAAAAAAAATTCTTAACTTTTAAAAACTGAAAAATCAGATGTGCAATTACATTTTTATATAAATCAAAATCATACATCATACTACTACTAAAAGTGAATTTAAGTATAAAAGATAAATGTAAACGTATAGATTTGTGTACATTATCAAGAAAGTGACATACTAAAAAATTACACGAATAATTCTAAGATGATACAGTTTCAATCAAATTTGGTCTCCAAGCTCAATGGCTTAGCAATCACTGCAACCGGTTTTCATAACTATTAGAAAGTGGGTTAAAATCTAACTCAACCTCACAAAACCTACTTGTACAAGCCTGTTTGTGAAGTTGAGTTAGGCTTTAAAAACCTACTTTCTAATATCAAAGTCATTGTTAGAGTATATTTTAGCGAATTTTAAGTGCGCATTTCTGTTCTTACCCATTATCGGGCCATTATCGGACCATCCCACTAATTTCTACTCTCACGCACGAGATGTCTATACCTCGACGTGAAGAAAATGTGTTGAAAGTCTCACATCGACTAGAAATAAGGTCAATTTATAATATATAAGTAAGATACAAATTTCATCTTACAAACTTAGGTTGAGTTAGATTTTAAAAACTCACTTTCTAAATGAATTGTTTTCCACAAAATTTCAAGGGATGTTAATATGATCACTGTGCATGCAATAACCAAAAGTGTACTACATTTTTATGAAGTAATTTATGGATGTTGGTAGAAGGAAAAGAAAGCAAGGTACTGTGAACCTAGGATTCACCTGCACATGTTGCCACAAACACACACCAGTTGTTATTATCTGGTTGAGGCACATACTATATATTCTGCTGTCCATAGGAGAAAAATGCATGTGACAGTGATCACTTGCATTGAATTGATTGAGCTTTGCATTTGTTAATGGCATGTGACCCTGTAGAATGGCATTTATAATAAGATGAAGTGACAGCAAACTTGTTAATTACTAGTTGACAACAAGTGGTCCATCTTTGTCCCTGCTTCTGCAATAAATTTCTCCTTCATTTTCTAGTGTATCTTGTTATCATGACCTAGTGAACCCGATATGTCAACCTAACCAAACCCTTATCTTTGCTTTTCCCCTTAGATTGAGGCATTGTAACACCTCAGGGGAAAGTTCAATTTTTCAAACCAAAGAAAGGAAAGGTTTACCAAACAATGAATTTCATGATAACCAATAACTTTCAAACAATTCTAAAGTAAATTTATTGATTTAATTTTAATTAATTGGGAAACAATCTACATGTTTTAGATGTCATCTCCTATATAATATAAAAGAAATAAAAAAATATAACATTATATATTACATTATTCTATTAATATATATTAGACAATTTTATTCATTTTATGATTAGACAAATTTTACATTATACATTACACAAGTTTGTCTATATATTAATTAATATAACAATACATATTAGACAAATATGTTTATATAATGAATTTAACAACATATATTAAATAAAATTTGTCAATATATTAGTTAGATGAATCTAACAATATATGTTACATCAACATTTTTATAAGTTGATTTATATTTTTAGCAAGTAATCTTTGTATATATTTATATATCCTTTATATTTTTAAATAATCTATTATGTTTTTGCACGTTTTATTTTTTGTATTTTTATAAAACTTACTATTCATATTTTTATTTCCTAAAGCTATAAATTATTTTTAAAATTAATTTTATTCAAAACTTAATTTAAACTTAAAAATGTTTATTATTATTTTCTCAATTTCTAGTTTTCTTTAATAAACATATAAACAAACACGAATTATAGATAACAGTAAAAAAAATAAAACTTAAGGCCTTGCATATAGTATTACTAAAATTTTTGTAATTCTACTAATACTTTAAAAATAAACCACATAGAATGGGATTTTTAAAAAAAAAAATAATGATATTTTTTTCTAATAAAATTCAAGTAAGGTAAAAAATTCACCAGTGATTTGTATAATCAAAATAATAATATTATTAAAAAATTATAAAACTAAAATTGGAATATTTATACGAGAAAATAAGGTATATATACATCCAAAATAAAATAATTTTATAC